TGATTACATGCCACGCTGATGATGCACTGGCAGCCGTTTGGCTAGCTTCACTTATACTAAATTTGGTATTACGGCACGTGAACTGATTGCGAAGGTATGATACTGGTGCAAACATGATAAACATGAGATGCGTGTCATTTCACAACATGACTATAAGCTACACTCGTGATGCGATCGCGGCTGTTTCGCTAGCTTCACCTGTACCAAACACTTTATTACGTTATGCGAACGGAACACATAGGTAAATGACACATCCAAGCATGATAATCACTACATGCGTGTGACGTAATAACATGACTAAATGCCACATTGATGATGCGCTCGCGGCCGTTTTGAAAGATTCACATATGCCTAAATTGGTGATACGTCACGCCAATAGATGACGAAGGCATGCGACTGGTGCAAACAGGATAATTATGAGATGCTTTTCATGTGAGAAAATGGCTACATGCCATAGTCAAGGTGCCAATACCTTTTGACGTGATGTGGGGCGCGTGCTCGCCAGCGTTCATTTCGTCGCGTCACTCCGGCGTTTACACGCTAGGCGCCGGTTCTGCCATATACTCGCAGGCGTGCAGCGCATTGCGTTGTTTTGAAGCATGCGCGTTTCAGCGCGTCCAGCGTCCTTCCGTCACGAAAATAGAGACGCAGTGTTGTCGGGGTAACGCATCGGTGCGAAATGCAGCATGTTGCATTTCGCGCCCGTTGTTTTTAAGCTGCACCGACGGACGAAGGTCGTGCCGGTCGCGCCTGGCATCAGACTAAAGATGAAGCGCTGATGCTCGCGAAGATGCTTCCCTGGACACTGCTACATAAATCAACTTCAGTGCATGGCAACTAACCACATCTGACGTTAACCTGACGGGATGGCTGTATTGATGGATATGTGTGATTTAACGTCCAAAACTACCTTATGATTATGAGAGACGCCGTTGTGTAGGGCTCCAGAAATTTCGACCACCTGGGGTTCTTTAACGTGCACCCAAATCTGAGCACACGGGCCTACAACATTTCCGCCTCAATTGGAAATGCAGCCGCCGAAGCCGGGATTCGATCCCGCAACCTTGGGGGCAGCAGCTGAGTACTTTAGGCACTAGACCACTGCGGTGGAGCGTGACCGCTGTATCGAAACAGTACATATAATATTTATGAAGTTGGGTAGGCAGCACTGAAACCACTATTACTGTTCCACGAATATTAGCGTCTGTTTGAAAAGTAGTCCCGAGCCCTGGCGTAGCTCTGTGGTAAAATGCTTCATTGGCACCCAGAATGCTTGGGATCGATTTCAGCCGTGGATTTCATTGGGTTGACGCTATACCGACGTCTGGTACTTCTTAACACTCGCAAATTAAAATTGCCCATGTGTGTTCTCGTCGTTACTCGGCAGATAGCCAGTGTCAATCACTTAATTGTGGCACATATTCGCAAACCAGTGGCACATACTCACCCGTGGTCATGTGCCACTGTCTGGCGAGAAGTGTTGGATGACGTACGCGACAGAATGGCGACAATATTCATGTCTTGACAAGCACGTCGTGTTTTTCAAACCATCTTACCCTCTCATGCTAATTTTGGTTCACGCCAAAGAAATGTGGTGACCACGAGAGCACCCAATGGTAAGCCGCTAGATAGATGATAGATACGCTCAACGTCGCCAAAGTTCGCTAAGAAATGCTCGCATTTAATACAAAATCTATGGTTGCCACTTTTTTTTTTTCGTTTTTCTCAATATTTGAACACATGTTTGCTTACGGATACATGCTCTATAGATACGCACTAGTTCCGTGTCCTCAGTTATGCGGAATATTGCTCACGTTTAATGACTTCATTTGTACTGGATCACCAAGTTTTCTCCTGAAACCTATTTCTTACGACAGACTCATTCATATCCTTCCACCAGTTCCTGTATTTGTGTTGTTTTATACCTTCTACCTCACAGGTGGTCTCTCAAGAACGTGACTTGAGCAATGTCGGTACAATAGGCTGGCATAGTTATGTTCAACAGCAATTTTATGCTCAGTGTAGACAGCTGTGACGTTTTGTGTGAACTAAGATTCTTACTAAGCGCAAAGTGCTCTAAAAGCTGCATCAGTGAGTTTATACGTGCTCTTTATTTACATTGCTTTGATAAATTCATTATGTTTGTTCAGATCGAAAACTCTTCAACGCGAACTGGGCGGAGCACAAAGAAGAAACTACACAACACAGGCGCTGTATATCAACTCAAGTCTTATTGAACTAAACTTTTATTTCAATTCATACGGCTTTCGTAGCACACAAAAGTAGGGTTCAGATACGCAAACATCTCCCGCATCTTTTATGAAGTACGCTTCTGTGAGTTCCAGTGCCTTTCTAATACTAGGTTTGTGCATAGCAATATTGTCAAAGAATCGTCCTGGTCGCGCTGCAAATTTTTAATATGCGTCAGTTCCAACTCGCCCGCCTATCTACTTCACTACAATTCACAGTATCACGTTACAAGACACACACGCATTATGGAGGAATATGCCATAAACAGAGACCTCGGAAATTCATTCAAAGGTATTTTAAATTGGTTACAATAAAGTTTCCACTTATAGCATGCACTTGTACGCAGTAGCCACGTTAGGACAACAAAGCTTGGACGTCGTGTCGCATCGACTTATACGCTAAAGAAAAAACATAAATCTCACTGGGTTTCTTATGCGCTCACCTAAGAATAATGAAATGCGAAATCAGTCTTATTTCTGACTGATTTAAAAATGCGCTATACTTCGGGCATTGAATAATCAAAAACGAGTGAAAAAAAGTGTTCATTACGGCCCAAAACCACTTAAAGTTGCTGTATCTTCCCGCAGAGACTCTGGGGCATTGTGCAACTGCGCTAATCTTGCTAACTTCATAAGCAAAGTAGAAGGTGCTCTGGGGGCTTATACTAGACGCTGGGTTATATGAAGACGCGCCGATCAAGAAACCATGTTACTGCGATACCAAATTAGTGCCGGTTCCTCCACGTTTTGCTTTAGGTTCCCCTTCGCCCCTTCGACGCGGCGGGTGAACAGAAGAAAGCGGGAAGAGCACAAAAAAACGCAGGGACCGACCGACTTTAAGTCATTGGCTGAACTGACAATCCATGTGATAAGAAGTCGTTGTGGGCGCCATATCGCAGAGCACCTGTCTTTGAATCAGATAAAAACAATGTACAATGCCAGAACGCTAATGATTTCGTTGCCAAACATATCACTCAGGCATTATTATAATTATCGAAGCTGAAACTTTAAATATAAAGTATTACCAATAAAAAAAAGTAATACTGTTTGGGCGTGACTTCTTTGTACATTTTAAATTCTCAGTGAATGTACTTATTTACAATTGTTATTGAGGTCACGAACTCAACCGAGCTCGAGAAAGAAGTCCTCAGGCTGGGAAGCCGGGCATGGTTGGTCCAGAATGTATATCATATGAGCGGTCATTTATTAGAGGAAAAGAAACGCGAAGACGCTTGTACGGGCCTTCCGTAACGGGGGCACAGTTTAGCGCTTCGGCGAAAAGGTATAAAGGGGATAGGAAGAGATAGAGGAGAGAAATTAGGAGGTTAAGAAAGGAAGCAGTCCGCCCTGGCACGGGCACGGAGGACTAATTGCTGGCACACCGGCCTATTCCTGAACCATTCATGAGTCAGAAAGAGCAGGTGGATAGAAAAACGGCGCGTCGTCTGCTACAGCCCTTCCGGTTGATGGAACCTTCAAGGCTCAGCTCTGCACTGCTTCAAGTTGTGTGCTGTTTAATGTAATAGGGGAGGAGGCAAGATAGCTGTTAATAACCACGTCACAGAAAGTACGTGTTTAGGATCTGCATGGTGGGAGAGATGGGTCATGTAGTTGAAATAAATGGCCACACTTTTGTTATTCAGCTGCTTTCGTGCTTGGAGAGCGGCCTGGACTCTTCACCTACGATTCCTACTCGAGTAGATGGCAGGTAGCTCCCAAAGAAAGTCCACCCAGGAAGAATTGGCAGCCTCGTGGAATTCGAGTCACGTTCACGCAGACTGCCTAAATGCAAGGAAAACACATTGTAACTCGCGTGCAGTATCCCTGAAATTGACCCTGGTGACGCACTCAAATCGTTAGAGCAAGTCTTTTACGTTGTCGTCTGCTTTACCCTGGAATGTTTTTGGTGCCGTCAGCGGATCCTCTGCGATTTGTGTTCGCGCGACCTGTGAAGTCATATCGGAAACGTCTCTGCCGGAAGATGTTACCGTTCTGGCGCAATCTAAACGAGAAAACACGAGGTCTTCACTGCATATGCTACGGCTGCTGCGCTGGTGAACAAGAGTCAGCTCAGTGGACCGAAGTCTTTTATTGTTCCGAGTTAATTTCTCAAACTTGAGAATAGATCTCGTTTTATCCCCCACCTTCATGAAACTTGTCATGCACAGTTGAAGGAATAAACTTTTACTCAATAGCGGAAATCAGACAAACTGGTGCCCAAAAAAAGAAGCAAGCTATAGAGAAAACAGTGTGTGTTCGGTCCAAGAACGCCTTCGCTTCTCCGGCGTTTGGCAGCTCATATTCTTTCCTTGTCTCATGAAAATCGTATGTGCCTGAGCTATCAGAATCATTTCTGGCGTGCTCTACCGGCACTTCCCTTCCTTTGTTTATTAAGCACGCCGTAGGCGCCATGGAGAGCGTAGCACGGCTCGCGCGTGTACTTTTATTGTATCTTGTGTGAATGTGACACAATGGTATAGGCAAAATATGATTACGTGTTTCAAAACGGCAGCTCTCACTTACCCTTCTATTTTTCTAAAGCTCCTCTCCTCAACAACCCACAATTATATGGATAGCGAAAGATTAGTAATTATAAAAATGCCGCTACAGAGAGCCATTTCGTTCTAAGCCACGTTGAATCTGTTATTGAAATTTGGGCTATAGTTATATTTTTTCGAAGAGTTATGAAGCATATTAAGCTAAGCTCTTACTTTGCACTTTTATTTTATGTATGTATTCTTTCTATCGCAGCTGCTGAAAGAAAAAGAGGTTGTTTATTTGGTGGGAGTCAGTAAGCATCCACCGCATTCGGAACTTCCGTACAGATGCATGAGACTTGTTCTCAAATACGCAACTCCCTATGAAAGCCATCGTCGAATGGTATACGAATATCGTACAGTAAGTATTCATGATACCTATCTTATGCTCAATATTTGCATCATTTATGGGCGAGGCTCACATGTACTGCATTAGTAACTTAAAAACCGGAAGAATGCCTATATGGGCTTTAACTTTGAGATTACTTATGTCCTGAAGGTGGCAATTTAACATAAATCAGAATGTGCAAACATACAATGCTTTAGTTTTTAAGGTAGACACGATGAGCCACCTTCTGTAGAAGACGAGAAGATTGGGGGTTTGGCAGTGTCATTTCCAAGAAGGCGCGGAAACGCGATTTTTTTCCGCGGGGGGATCAGCTCATAGGAAGTGCGTCGTGAGAAATGGGATGCCCTAGGACATTTTCTTCTTGGAAGAGGATCTTGGAAGTAAACAATACACTTATAATATATCTCACCGAAGGAAACCACGAGTTGCGTGCGATTCAGTGCATCAGTCGACTTAAACTTGCGTTCATCACAGGCACCTTGCCAGATGTTAACGCGTCCTTGCAAATGGAGCACACCATAAATTCACTGTAGTTTCTGCTGCTGTTACTCCTCCCGGACTCTTGTTGGTGCACGCCACGCGGTTTAATTGCCACGCCAGGCTATAGCACGCGTGTTCATTACGCATCTGCAGAATATCGTTTCCCGATGTTATCATGTGATTGCTGAGAGATTTTAAGACGGACAGGTCTCATCCTCTCACACAACCACTTACACAGGCTCAAACGTGCTACCGCGTGCCAGCGCGTTCTCCTTAAATACGATGCGTTGGTTCATCGCGTGTCCGCAGAATATTGTTCCCCAATGTCATTACATGATTGCTGAAAGAGTGTAAGGGGGTTGGCCACAGCGTCTTACCCAGCCCTAGACACAGGCCGGAGTGCACTAGCGTTAGGCGCGTTCTATCAGTGCTTGGGCCAGTTGTTGTACGTGCGCAGTAAGGGTGATCACAAAACACACACCACGGGATTAAACTCCATTATAAGCTACGTCCTATATACTAAGCAGAGAAAAGGTGTCTCCACATTTACACCCGCTCCGTGGATCTGCACTGACAAGAGTGTTCTACCTCGCCGGTTCTGCGACTTAACTCTCGCAATAGAACCCCCCCCCCCCCCCCGGTCAAACATTTTAAAATTTCCAATAGGTTGTCTCATTTAGTCATGTATTCGTTTTGGGACGTTAAGCGCCGAGAATCACTTCATTTAACAAATTCACGACCACTTCATCGTCTTGCGCCTTCGCGCGCTATTTTCTTTGGATGTACTTTACGACATAGCCATTGTCCCCATCATGTTGCAATGTATTCGCGTTGACTTCCTGCATAAAATATTGTTCTGCCCCTATGTCTATTGAGCCCTCCACATTCTAGGCAGATTACCAGGAAGTCAAGGAGCCATTTCAAAAACCACGGCCGTAATGTAGCAACTGTGTGCAAAAATGAGCAGATGCGAAAAGCAGAAAAATATAGCATGAAAAAAAATATTTGTTCTGATAGTGTAGCTAAGGTCGAAAGCTGGTCGTTTGGAAAGTTGATTTTCCAACACATATGCAATGAAAATCTTGTGAAATATCAAAGCGGTTTCAAACTGCTGCGAGTGGCTTTCCTGCAAGAATAGTTCGCACCGACACACGCTGGCTAACTGGCTCGATTAACGCTCTAAGTTTGTGGAGTACTTGCTTGTTCATTCAACACATTCCAGCAAAGGTAGGGCACCGCGGAATAATCACGCCTTAAATTAAGCTCCAGGGCGTACAGAATGAAAGGGTAAAAGAGAACGAGGGAAGACAGGAACGCGTACTGAGTGAAAAAAGATGTTTCCTGTTATTTTGTTTCCCACGTCGTTTATTTAGAGAGTGCACTTGCTCAAGCATTTCCAGCACTTATTTTGTGGTGTAATTTGGGGGAGTTGAACGCTTTCCTTTTTTTGTGTGTCACAACATGAAACCGCACTAAATCAACCTCGACGCAGAAAAAGTACCAGCTTTTTCAATTGCTCCTGTAAAAAAAATATAATTTCAGTAGGTTTGGTCAACTCATCACTGAATCAGCAGACAATTTTTTCAATAAATCTACTCATAAAAGAGCAGTTGAGGCAACCCTCAATTGCGCCCTCTCTCCCTCGGCACGAGCGTCACCAGAAGGTTTAGTAGTGTTTTTGACAATGTTAGGTAAAATACTGCAGGTACTTGAGGCTGTTTTTGTTAAGTAAGATGTTTTCTGTCTTGCATTATAATTTTTATCAGGTCCAGTATTGCTTTTGTTGTGTTAGGCCTCAATTGAGCACTTTATTTACACCGTCATCACGCAAATGGGAGGTGCCAATAGAAACCAAGTCAGACTTCTAACGTGTTACGCCCTCCAAACGACACCGTTGGCAGCTATATACTGTCCACTTTCATGTGATAACACCTCACGTGTAACATCCCAAAACCACGAAGTGTTTATAAAGAATGCCTCAGTGGAAGGCACCAGAAATTTTGACCATCGGTCGTCATCTAACACGCATTGATATCGCATAGTAGATGGGGCTCTGCCAATGAGCTAACGTCTAAATGCGGCTTCGGCGGCCAAGATGCAGTGTACATGCAAATAGATCACCGAAGATGTGCAACGTTTGACCTTTACGTCATCAACAGAGCACGTTAACCACTAACCAGTGCGTCAAATTTACTGTCTATAAGCCCATTTTCAGATTAGCGAATATTTTGGCGAAGTATTTTGCGATGTGAAACAGACCTTTGACTCACGTGTTTGACGCCGTGTGCATGTGCGTCCGTACGAACGCACCTTAACGCGTTCCCCTTGCCGCAGGTGTTGGAGTGATGACAACTAGGTCACGCCACAGCTGCGCTTTGACGTCCCACTTCTCTCGCGAGCTCCCTCGCAGGTTCGCGGTGACGTCACTCTCTCCGTCACTCGCAGCGAGCTTTGCGCAGCACCCTCAGCTGGCTGCGAGCTTCCCCGCCCGCTCTCAACACACTTTGTCTCGCTTCACCCTCTCTACTGTCTGCAATGCCCAGCGCACTTCGATTGTGTACACTCTTCCGGCTTGTTTATCTGCGATGAAACGTACAGAAAACCCAAACCAATTTTTTTTTGCACGTCAAGCTGAAGTTTACTCGAGTATACGCTAGATTTTCTCTTCAAACTTTCTTCCAACCCCGCGTCAATTGCTGTTTCAACCAGGGCAATGCCGTGCACACCACTGCTGTTTCGAATACCACCAGGGCTTCCTTTGGAGAGATGGTGCATTTTTTTCTTTGTGTAAGCAGTTTTCATAACTGCACATGACGTGCCCAAACAAGTCCGACCCACGAGCACGCAGGCAGCTTTGGTTTGTTGACCGGCGTAATTCTGTGGTCTTCTGCCTGTTTCTGCAGGATTATTTGGAAACTCTGGCTCAGACGCGGTAGAATCGATGAGCACATTGAGTGCGCGAACACGTAGGAGCGTTCCACAGCAGTCGTCTGCTCCATGCGCTGACCGCTGGGACACGAACGCATGCGAAAAGCCAACACATTTGCCCGCATCTCTTTGCATTTTGCGGGAGAAAAATAGAAAAAAGATGCTCACATTCCCTTACTGCGTCTAATTATTTATTTAGAGTTTTATTGATCTCTTCAAGCAACAAATTACATAGGCTACGTATGCTGTATTAAATACTTTTTGTCATGTCAAGTGCAAGTGTTTGCAACGTCAGAACAGAGCCGTCTACGTAGAGGGCCAACGTCACTGCATCGCCATCTACGTAGGGCCATTCATACGCGCACGTCATGCCCTCATTCTTTGGGCATGCGCCGGCAGGAGGGAGGAGGAACAGCGTTCATCTTGAATGCTGACCCATTTACGCGGCGCGTGGCGTAGCTAATTTTGGCAGACGCGATCATCAGCGCTTCACCTACGCATTGCGCTTGTCAGCTCAAAATTGTGAAACCTGGTGAAAGGCCCTTCAAGGCTGGCGTGTGTTGCCGTGTCCTGTAGTAAGTTCGAGTACACTGTCATTGCCTTTGGCACAAGTCTTCATGTGCAACATATCAAGCGCGTGCTTGTGGTAAGAAGTCGCCTTCTTCTTGTTTCTCGAGAAACTTTTTGAAGAATAAGGGCGCATTTCGAAAAGCCCGCTTCGTTTTATTCTTCAGTTGCCTAGACGAAGATCACATAACATCAAAAAGGTAATTAGTGCGCTCTGCCTAACGCAAAACAAAAACCACGTATGAAAATCTAATATTAATAGAAACGAGCCTAGAAAAGAGACAGAAATGCTAAATTAGGAAGAAAGCAGGAGGATCAAGAAAGAGAAAACGAAGGATAAAGAGCAACAAATAAACAAAAATAAATGCACAAAAACCAGAGAAAGTGAAAAGGAGGAAAGAAAAAGGAGAGTGAAGAAAAAGAACAAAAACGTACCTGACCCAAACTTTTTTCAGGCTTGTCCTTCATAGTGCAAACCATCTTCTTTTTTATGTGTGACGCCTTATTTGTCTTGACATGAGGCTATCCATGCCTGTTGGAAGAAAATTACAGAATGATAAAAGTCTTGGAGAATAACAAGTAATATAACTTGTGGGTACGCCGTAGCATTATTCTATCACAATGGAATAGTTGCTAACTCAAGAATATGCTATTGTCGGTTTGTTAAAAATTTGCCGACAGAGCTACTGGAACGACCACTGAGAGCCAGTAGAGTCAGTGCGTAGTTCAAAGAGGGCTTTTGAGAATTTTCGCACCAATTTTTTTTAGCATTCAGTGAATTTCACGACTGTTCATATGAAAATTCAAAGCAGCAACTCTGATGATTCTGTTAATCATATAGGATTATGAAGAGGAAACCAACAAAATCAATGAAAACTTGCACGTAAGTTTTTCTTCTTTTTTGCTTACATAACATAGAATGATACTTTATTAGGGATTTGTATACAAATTGTCAAAAGTTGCAACTTAGTTCGTGTGTAGGACAAGGAAATGCTTAGCGTTATTCAAATATACAGAAGTCAACTGCTTTTGGTGCAGGATATATTGCCACGCCCGTTTCTTGTTTTCACTTTTGCGTCATTGGAATTTAGACTGCAAAACGTGTCAGGAATGCTGAGCGTAAACTGCACTTTATTTTTCAAGAAGGTTCGAGATTATTGTATGTGCTCCTGTTAAAATTGCGCGGAAGACGGGATCGCTAGAGATATTTTAGAGCTTCCATGACAACCAGTAATCAGACTTGAATATTCGACGGCACATGCATAAATGCCGACAAGCTTCACCGCTGGTCAGTTGATTGATGTCCGACACTCTGTTCGCCGCTGCTAGTGCTTATGCCTTGCTGTAGCCTGACTTTCCTTCTGCGTGACCACAAGTTCGCCCCAATAAACAGCTTATCCTAAACAACCATTCTTCTCCCTTAGTCCGGGTCACGCAACGTAGACATCTGCTTGAGGTGCTGCTTGTTCATGTACCGGACACCCTGGTCAAGCCATCCAACCAGCCCCAGCCTTGAAGAAGACAACGAAAAGGACTACCCTTATCGTTGAACTATGCGCAAGCAGCAGGGCCTACAGCCAGAACACCGGCTTCTGGTGGAAAGCACCACAGTGTACAAGACTGTGATTTCAACCGCAGGCACGATGACAACCGTCATGCCACCTGCACCAATCGAGCTTCGGCAGCCCAAATAGTCACCAATGTTTTCCGCGTGTCATCGGTGGAATTCTAGAAAGGTGGCTTGAGACGTACGACAGAGTCGCCACCTTGAACAGATGGGACCCCGACTGAAAAGTGCGCCGTGTGTACCTTTACCTAGAGGATACCGCGAAGACGTACTTCAGGAACCGGGAGTCCACGCTACGAAGCTGGGATATCTTTTGTATGACGTTGCTGAGCATGTTCACGCACATCATCTAGAAGTAACGTGCTGCTTTTATCTTGGAGACACGTTTGCAACTCCCCAAATAAAGCGTGACCATTTTCGTCGAAGAGATAACCCAGGAGTTCCATCAAGTTCACCACGCTATGGCTAAGGATAACAAAATGTGGGTCCTATTGCGAAGTTGCTAAGAGTTGTTTATGAGACATATACGCAACCCGCCCAAGACTCTCGCAGAAGTCCTCACCGGGGCCACGAGAACTGAGAAGGCACTTGAGATGCACGAGGCAGTATAACCGTAACTCTTAAACAGGTAACTACTGCGAGGCTCATGTCCTCAGCCGCGATGACCCGCTGGGCACCATGCCAGCGATCGTGTGGAAGGAGCTTCGCAAGGTGTGACCGTCACCGAAGCCTCAAGTTAATTTGATCGCCGAAATTGTCCGGGAGGATTGAGGTACGGCGATCGTTTAGGGTTCCCTACACACTAAAAGCTAAAGCGGAAGCTATGAGTTACGATCGCTATACTCGGGTACCACTCTCTGTGGCAATGAAGGTAAGGCTGCGCAGCCAAAGTGGGCATGTGCCACCACTGTATAACATTGACCCATGCCACCACTGATGAACGAGCCACTGTGGCTCATACTCGTTTTGGGCTGAGAAGAAGAAGAGAACGTTCCGAGCACTAATAAGACAGATTTATTTTTTTCATTTTCATTCATTTCATTTCATTTTCAGTTTAGTTTCAATTAAGTATTCTGCCGCCCGGTTCTTCGCCCATCCCCCTTTGTGGGTAAGCGCCATCTATCAAAGGTCATCAGCATCAGCATCAGCATCAGATTTATTCTAGGAAAAACTGTTTAAACATACTTACCCGAGCCAATCTTGGTGGCTCGAAGACACGCGCGGGCCTTCCCTGTACCCAACAAAAAAAAAATTTTGCCTACCCGAGCCGGTACCGCCCGATCAAAAATTGGGTCGGACGTAGGCCAAAGCGAACAAAGAGGCAACACAAGCACAGAAGAACCACAATATATCTTAAGTGGCAAATATGTCCGCTTTCACGGCGCATGCTTCCCTCACAATTGAACTTTTAGAAGCAGAAATGGCTTGCAAAGAGCAATTCATGGTAGAAACAGTTGAACTGATATTCTGGATGCAACGAATGTTACCTTGGCAGTGGTGACCTGTACCATTTTTCTGTATATAATATGGTGATGTAATCAAGAAATACACGAACACCTATCTGGTCGGGAATTATCAACTAATGAAAAGACGAGGACACCGAACACCACCTTTTATAATTTAAGCTTTCTTCAAAAAATATCAAACATCAGTAAATCAAACTTCAGATAAAATCAGATATCAGTCCGAAGCTGCGGAACTAAAATTGTGTATGCATGTGAAACAGGTTTAGTTATTTGAGCAATTTTTCATATTGTTTGCTTCGGAAAAATACCAAAATATCAACCCTCTAAATATCATTATATTTGTAGGCCCGTTGCCAAAGAAGAATTTGAAGAAAGAAATAAGAAATTGCGAACGCTTTCCATTCAGCACTTTCACTGAGTTTTAAACAACATTAAAAAACATGGCAGGTATCAAACCTATCCACTGCCCTTAACACGATTTTAAAGTCAAAGGCATCGCCTTTTTCTTCTCATTCGATGTATTGATTTGCTGATCCACCTTCCGAAACCTTTATGGATACAACATTATGTTGAACTGCTTCAAAAATACAAGGCACCTTTCTTAGACCTAGTGGAGCTTTGGCTCATGCTGTGTAGCTAGAAAACGTCGCGGTAGACGATCGCACAAGTGTGGCGTATACGATGCCAGACGAGCGGAGGCCTTGCCGCGACGGCCGCATAAGTCCTGTGGCTGCGGCCAGGTGTTGGTGGAGAGCAGACGTAGGTATGGGAACGCCTCGGAGCGACCCTCCAGATAGCCTGTCTGATGATCGGCGTTAGAGGTTCATTGGTGCTTCGGTAGTCGGCAGAAACGAGAGGCACGAAAGCTGTCGTGCGACCTTTTCGCGTACATATTCTTTTATGTGCTCAAGCAGGTGCTGTCACCACCAACGTTCCAGGTCAGCGAGAGAGTCGTCTGCGGTCGTCGACCTTCGAACTGATGCACGTTGTTTTCGAATCTCTTCCAAGCTCTAGCTTAAGGCCAGATGTTCGGATACGGTAGTTGAGCCCTTCACCAGCACATTTCCAAGTATCAATCGTCTATGCCTTCCAAGATATGCTGATCGCGTTTGTTTGGTAATCTCAGGGTTAAAGTGCCGGTGTAAATCGATAACATCTTCAATGTAGCTTGTGAAGCTTTGGCCCTGCCTTGTGCAAGTCCGCGTAGGCGCTGTTCAGCACGCAGCTTGTGCAATGCGGGGCGATCAAACACAGCTGCAAAGGTGGTTTTCAAAGCGCCCAAGTGGTGAATTCAGCCCACTGGTTTGTGAACCACAGGCTGGCGACGTCTTTGAGATAAAATGGGACATACTCCAATTTCGAGGGTCGTCCCACTTGTTGGCCGCGCTCACATTTTCAAACAGATGCAACCAGTCTTTCACACCTTGGTACTTGATGCCACTAAAGAAGGAGGAATCCCGTTGGCGCAGGGCGGTAGGCGAGATGACCAGTTGAGAATGGGTCGAGCTTTGCTTGGTGGCGCCTTGCTCGGTCATCTGATTAGGCATTGCTGAGGCAGTGGGCAGCTTTCGGCTTCGAAGTTCCAGGTTTGCGTACCCAGCACACTTCCACCACTTGGCGAGAAAGTTTAATAGCAACGCTAAGTAGTAGGCAGACAGTCGTTACGGACACAAATACTCGATAAGTCGGGCGTCTACAGCTCGTGTACACGCTCGCGCTTAGCACTCAGAGATGGTCCCACTGGTCGTTGCCTTGCGCGTTTCCCACTACAGTGATCCCACTGAGTGCAGAAGCGCACCCTGTCATGTCTGGGGACTGACAGTGCAAAAGAAGGCCATCAGCTCAGCTCTCTCAAGTGGTGCTCGTCGACGAAACTACGTTTGCGTCCTACAAAAGCACGGAAACACTCCCGAAGATAGTTGAAAGAACGCGCACCGGCGTGCAAGTGACACGCGCTCCACGTCGCACACGAACGCTGTTACACGCAGTCGGCGTTTCAAGAGAAGCGGGTGTGTACGAACAGAGGGGGATAAAAAATGGCAGAAGATCCATGGAGTGAATGATGGAGAGTGGGCGAAGCAACCGTCCGTCCATTCGTTCTTGCTTCCGTCCGTCCATGTGTCTGTCTGTGTGACCGTCCATGTGTCCATTCGCCGCCCGTGCGTGCGTCTGTTCGTGCGTTCACACGTGCATCTGAGCGTCCGTCTTTGCGTTCGTCCATGCGTCCGCCCCTGCGTTCGTCCATGCGTTCATCCGTGCGTGCAGCCATCAATGCGTATGTCCATGCGTCTGTCTGTGTCTATTCGTCCATCTATTAACACTCCAAGTACCACCATCTCGCATCTTTTCATCGTATATTCTACATACAGAAGCACCGCCACTCAGTGGACATTCCGAGGACTAAACGAGAGGTGGCATACGCACACTTTCTTACGGCTTGCGCTTCGTGCCTACTTGCCACCTTTACCCCCCTTGAGTTCATGGTATATACTAGGTCACTGTATTCAAGGCACTGTGGCCCAACGCTCGCTAAATCTTTCTAAACCAAGGAGGTTACGTCCAGCGAGATAACGTAGCAACCATTTTTTGCCAGATAGGGCTAAATGCACATGCCAATGGCTGCTAATGGGGAATTAGAGACAGGAGAATGCGGCTTTAAGTTAACGCGCACGCTGCGAATTTTTTATTGTTCAACAACGCACAGGGGAAATCTCCCACCGCACTACCATTCAGGTCAAAATGTAAGACTGGTTACACGCTATGAGTACGACTACGACTACAAGAGACGATCGGGTGCCGCTTTAAGGAACTTCGCCCCTAAAAAAGGCCGATCCTATACAGTGCGAATCT